CAAATTTATAAAAACAGCAAATACCATTAGAGAAAACCACCTAATGGGTCATTAATATTTTTTTACATTATTCCATGTAACTGTATTGTAGTAGATTTTAGATATCTAACTTGTTATGTTTATTTTAACACCTTTATTACATTTTATAAACCAAAAAATATATGTAATTCATTCTATAAGGTTGTAATAAAGAATTATCTTATCTTATATATATATATCAAAATACGCTACATATTTCAATTATTGAGTGACAATTGTCAACAATACTGCTAATTTGGTGTTTTCTCCTTGTGTAAACTATATGCATACCATAACTCATTAGTGGTACATGTACTTCTTGAGTCTCAACCAATTTGGTGTTTGCCATTTACAATGACCATACCTGACCCTAACCCTAATACCAAGACATGTTACTGTTAATAATTGTAGCTCAATAATGATACTCTCTTTTGCACTGTCTACTGGTGGTGGTGACAAATGATTAATCAAGTTGCGTTTAATTAATTTCTACCATTACAAGTTGTTAAATTGCGAGAATAAATGTTCGAACAAATATTTGTTACTTATTTTGGTGTAAACAACTCTCGTTCAATTAATTCCCACCATTAAACTTGTTAAATTGAGAGAATAAATGTTCGGACAAATATTTGATTCTTATTTTGGTGTAAACACCTCTCGTTCAATTAATTCCCACCATTAAAACTTGTTAAATTGAGAGAATAAATGTGTGGACAAATATTTGATGCTTAATTAAGTGTAAAGAACTCGCGTTTGATCAACATCCACCAGTGCAAGTTGTTAAAATAATGAAATAAACATACTGGTATCATTAGATATTTGATTTAATTGTGAAACTTTCTAACAAAATGTTAACTGCTGAATTTGAACCCTCAATCAACAATTCCGCAGACACAGTATAATACCACTATATTATAGAAGATATTATCTGTTGCCTCAATTGTTTTCGACCAAAGTGTATTGATCATCGTTCATTTGACAGTCAAAAAGGTATGTTCAATCCCTGAGGGTTTTGGGTTTCATCCTTCAACACTG